CCCCCCCCCCCCCCCTCACAAAGCCCTGCGTCAATAATGGTTATTGAGTGCTCACCCAGCTGCGCAATTTTCTCCCTCCTGCGCCCAAACCGAGTCGGGGAAAGGTCAGACAGAAGGAGCGCTTTGAATGGAGGACAAGCTCACAAGTTTGCTCAATTACCGCCACCACACACGCACGCACGCGCGTGCACTATATATATATATAAAAAAAAAAACAGCAACCAAAACACTGCAAAGACATGCATTAAATAGATCCATCTTTATTTATAAAACTTGTTTTACACAAAATATATCTGTTCAAATCAAACATGTCCATGTCCCCGACTCCGGGGGTGGATTGAGAACAGGTGCGCACCGGAAATGACTGGTCGCCACTTCTCCAGGAGGAGAACACTCCAGTCCGCCTCCTCTCTGACAGCTGCTTCTCAAGTCAAACACCGTGAGGAGAAGTGGCAGTAAACGTTGTTCAGGAACAGTTGTTTGGCTCATTGTACAAAAATATGTCTCTGTGCTACAAAACGAACATTATGATACATCAGTGTACATCACGGAATCTTCCAGGCGGGTGAGGAACCAGGATGAGGTTCTGATCCAGCTCAATCCTGCAGGACCTCCTGCACCGTCTCTGCCCAATTAATTGCACTTATTCAAACATCAACAGTTCTTTACTTCCATGCGTGTCTGAGTCCACCCCCTCTCCTGTGGGGACTTGTAAGAAGGGGGGGTGGGGGGTTGGCACTATCTACGCGCGCTCACAGACGCCCTCTTCCCCCTTTCTCATTATTGCTCTGCTCCTGCAGGGTCTGAGATAACAAATCACCTGTGAGCACGATGGGGGGGTGCGCAACCCCCCAGGTGTGATGTCATTATCTGGACTTTTGTCAGCATTTCTGCAAGGATTCGGCCACCTTTACGCGCAGCCAGCGTCAGTACCTGTCAAACCAGGTGGTAAAGTCCAGCAGTTCCTGCTCCTCTGAGCTCAGAGGCTCGTACCCGCCTTCATCTGACGAGTAGGTGGAGTGAGGAGACTCCGGGTCTGCGGAGTAGCTGTTGGAGAGAGTTGGAGACGGCAGCCCGCACTGGAACGCAGCCGAAACGGCGTCGTGCTCGTCGAGGAGCTGCTGCAGGGCTCTGATGTACTCCACGGCGGACCTCAGGGTCTCCACTTTGCTCATCTTCTTGTTGGCGGCGCCGTTCGGCACGTGCTGACGCAGCGTCTGGAAGCCCATGTTGACCTGTTTGACCCGGTTCCGCTCGCGCTCGTTCCGCCGGGCCACGGCCACGGGCTGCTGCTGGGGGATGGAGTAGCCCAGGCCGTTGAAGCTCAGGCGCCGCTTGCAGCGCAGCAGCTCCGGGGAGCTGGAGCGCTGTCTCTTCAGCACCTTGCTGCCGCTCGGATGGACCGCCGGCACCGAGTCCTGGGCCGGGGGGTGCAGGGTGATGCTCGCGCGTCTTTCACTCAGTCCAAAGGTGAACGCAGTCTGCGTGGTGGTGATGGTGGCAGTCTCCATCTCGCGCTCTCTCTCCCAGATCTGTCTGATGCGTTCAGGGACCGAGCGCAGCTTTGGCAGTGCTCAGCTCTCGTGTCCTTCGCGTGGGGACCGTGTGGCCAAACTCCAGTCCAAGTCTCTCGTTGACTGCTTATACTCCACGAGCTGATCTGACCCAAACTTTGGCAGCACTTCTCTTTTTCAACACGCGCCCCCCAACACACACCCCACCCACCTTCTTCTTCTTCTTTTTTTTTTTCCTCCTCTTTTTCATTTTTTTCGGGAGACGCACGCTTCTCCACGAGGCCCCGCCCCCGCTGTGTGATTCTTCTGCACACCAACTCCCACCCTCGCTCCCCCCGCGGGCCAGGCGCGTGGCTCCGGGAGCTCAATAAACAATCCCGAGCGTTCACTGCGCCGGGAGCACGCGCTGGGCTCATTTACATTCCAATGTTGAATGCTGAATGCCTATTGGTCGATTCAAACGGCCTGCAACCCGTGGGGGGGGGGGCAGAAAAAGAAAAATAAGTGAATAGTTTGGTTCTTTGAAATGCCTTTTGAATCCATACCTTTCTTTTCGTTTTTTTCTTTTTGGTGGGGGCATGCCCCCCCCCCCCCCGCCCCCCTACTCCGCTTGGTCATCTTTCTCCTCTGGCTCTTTACAATCACAAATACCACGGAGCCTCGCTGCTGTATCCAGGCTACAGATGAGTGCAAAGTGTGCCTCGGAGCACAGAAGAATCGCAGGAGTTCAGAAGAAGTTTGGATCTGTATGCTCATAAAGTCTGATCAAAAGCAAGTTTAAGTCTCTAAAATGTGTATTTATATATAAATGTCCACTTTCAGTAAAGCCAAGTTGCACAAACACGCATTGTTGCAGAATTTCAGCACCACCGCTGACTGGACAGCTGAACGCTGCGACATGTTTTGTGAAGTTTTGCCCATTTAAAAAGGACCCGTTTTCTGGTTTTATCGTCTTCCCTTTCAACCAACGTCGACTGGACTCTTTGGAAAATGTTGTTTAATAGTAAACAGGAAAAAAAAAAACTACCGGTACTGTAAGAAAGCAGAACTAAAAATCCGCGGAGCGATATAAAGAGAAACTCGGTCTATTGCGCCATCTGGCGGTAAAAAGAAGCAGGTACACCTACCGACCAACTTCGTTTCTTTGCTGAAGGTATGAACTATTTCAAACAGTTTCCAACCATCAGTGCTGGAGAAAGTACTCAAACACCATATTTAAGTAAAAGTACAAATAAACAGACAAAAATGTACTTTAGTAAAAGCAGAAGTACCACATTAACATTTTTACTTAAGCTAAAGTAATTAAATGCTTGTTTTTAAAAATACTTGAAGTATTAAAAGTAAAAGTACTTGCTGAATGTATTACCTAATGCAATGGTCTACAATATCATTAAGTGTGCCTACGTATGTATATTTTCGGTAATACATTAATAGTGTTGTGTCATTTTAATAAACAATGCTGCAGATAATACATGTTTTTATTGTGTGGCACCGTTCACACTTGGACTCGTGATTCTGTGCGTCAGAATTTCAGGGATGACCTGCAGAGTTAAATGACATTAAGTAAAATAAGAAAGAGGAATGATTATACCTTTGAAAGTTTTTATTTAACACAAAGTAAAACCAATGTGTCGTTTTAACTGCAGTAAATACATTTAAGTAAAAGTTGTCTGCCTGAAAAAAGGAGCATTAGACCTAACAAAGGAATAGACTCTGATCATTTCAACTCCAGTTTGTCATCAACTCTACTTAAAATACTGTCTAGTCAACATTGTAATGGGTCAATAGTGAACAATATTTTAACTTCCTGTCACCATTTTCAAAAGTTGGACCCAGGTGTCAAGTCATTTGGAGACATCTCTTGTCTCCTAACACCCCATGAACTGACACATTTTAATATTGTAACAAGAATTTCTTGTTCAAGTTCAGAAGAAGTTGGTTTTCAAAGTTTTTTTAGTCCAGTCTGGCTCTTTTGGGAGAGAGAATCTGTCCTGCTGTACTGAATAGTCTTTCAATAATATTTCAATAAGGCCATGGGTGGCGCGTATCTTCTGGCTGACTCTCTGTGGTGGAATCTATTTGGCTGCAGGTGCGCCCAGCTCAATGGCGTACGTATATACTACTAGAATATACGTCATTGGCCCAGCTCTTCTTGAAAGTGGGTCTAACGTTACCTGCCCACCTTGCAGTGATTCAATGGACCAACTCCCCTCTCATCATTGGTTACTTTCATACTAACAAACAAATAAATAAATTAAAAATGCAACATGAATGTAACTTATAACACAACACATTATAGAAATGTAGTGTAGTAGAAAGTACAGATACTTATTGTAAAATGTAGTGGAGTAAAAATTGAAAGTACCCACGTTTAAGTAAAGTACAGATGCATGGAAAAATGTACTTAAGTACAGTAATGAAGTACTTGTACTTAGTTACATCCCACCACTGCCAACCATGATGTTTAGCCAAAAGTAAAATATTTTAAGGAAGCATGCCTTAAAAATAAAATAAAAATCTTCACTCAAAAACGCAAATAAAATAATGCCAATAAATGATGACATTATTTTCTCAAGTGTGTGTTGACGCCTGTTGTATCAAATATTTACAAGAGCACAATGATTTACCACCTTTTTATTTATACAGGATTAGAAATATATTTGAAGTTTGCCCAAAGTGCAAAACAAAATTACTATATTTCTATCTTTTTTTTAACAAAATGATTGTTTTTAACATCTAAAATCAGAGGTATTTTCTCATGGTGGTCTTTCTCACTGCAAGATTCAGAATGGTGTTCACAAAAACAAAACAAAAAATGTCTGTACAAGTTGAATAGCACTATAAGTATAAAGAGTTAAAATACAAATAGTCTCCCTTTAAAACATATCAAATTAAAAATGTGACAAAGCAGTCGTAAAACACTTAACAGCTTAAATATGATAGTTTAAATCTTTCCCCGAATAATGACTGGTAACCAAATCTGTCATCATTAATTAATGGATGTTGGTAAACTGTGATATGCTCTTTAGCATTTTATAACCGGTTAAATATTTAGATATACTGTGGTACAAAAGACTACTATGTTTAATGAGCTGTTGTTTTGTAAGATTGAGAATGTTTTAGTTTTGCTTTTGATGCTTTGAATTTGTGTTTATGCACTTTACATGCTTGGGAAGTCGTGATAAATAACTGCATAATCTCTTTTATAAGACTAACTTTTTGCATATTCTCTTTTTTAACAATATGAAGATAATACATCAAAATACAGCCCATTTATGCAACAAATACAAATTTAAAGAACGTACATGAGAAGGTTCTGTTTTTATTTAAATTTGATGAGACTTACATTTAGTTTGCGCAGTAGATCAGCGGACAAACTTATTTATTTATTCTATTAATTGTGATATTTTTTTATGGGAAATCTCACTTTCAGTTTCAGAGAAGGAATCTCCCCTCACGGCGTAGCTTTAATTTCCACCAGCAGGGGGCGCCAGAAGAAAACTAAAAGTTTGAAATACCATTTGCTGTTTGTTGCTCATGAGGAACTTACAAAGCACTCAGTGTTGGATTGTGGTGGCTTTAATACAGATGTTGAAAATAAAACAAATGACTGACTTTGGAACATAAGAATTGCTTGAATCTAGAAAAATACTTTATTTTACAGTCACCGTTACTTTATTGGAATCTGCAGCATGTTTTCTTTTCCTAATCATAAAATCACTTCATTCTTTCTAGGCCTGCTGAACAGGCCAAGTTCATTAGAAAAAAAGTGTCACGGGACAAAACTCCTGAGGAGGAAAGATACTCCAGTCTAACTTTATTGTGGTTTTAACTGAATTTAAAATCCACACATTGAGTCAAAGGGACAATATGAAGAGCTACTGAAAGTTTTTTTTTTAAACTCTTTAGCAACAGGAAGTATGGATGCTGAGCAAACATCCTAAAGTCTTAATGAAATATTAATCTTATCCATCTGAAAAATGTATGTGTATTGTAAAATATGCACCAGCAAGTCATTTTTACTTCAGTTTCATTTCCATACTAAAAAAAAAAAAAAAAAGCAGCCTTGGCAGTTTGCTAAAAATAATAAAAAAAACCTGCCCAGCTCTTTCTGACAAGTAAAGGAGTGGCTGTTTTTTTCCACTTTGAGGTTCTCTGGTTTCAACTCAAGACAACAAAACAGCTATGAGGAGAATGAGAGATTATGATAGTGCAGTTAAAAGAGAGAGATAACTGAGAATTAAGAATGTAGTAAACATTCCCTGCAAAAATCCCCTTCTAGTAACATGAAAAGATTGAAATGAATTGCAGCAGCTGAATGAAAGTTTGTCTGCTGGACCGGTTTTGAGGCAGGTGAGTCATACATGTCAATGAAATTAATTCAATTCAGTTTATTTATATAGCACCAAGTCACAACAGAAGTCATCTCGGAGCACTGAACAGAAACATTCATACATAAAATAATAATTTAACATTATTTATCTGAGGAGCAGACTGCTTTGAGCAGATTCATCTTGAGCAAGCACGAAGGCGACAGTGGAAAGAAAAATCTCCCTCACGAGAAAGAAACTTTTAGCAGAACCAGGCTCAGGACAAGCGGCCATCTGCTTCAACCGGCTGTGTTAGGTAGGAACAGGAAGGAGGAACAGATACACAATGGCAGGTTGATTTGTATCAAATGACAGCTATTCAATTTTAACAATTCATTTAATGAAATGACATCAATTTGTCCTAGTAGTCTACCTTAAGGCAGCATAACAAGCCAATCCTAATTAGGATTTATCAAAAAGGAAAGTTTTAATCCCAGTCGCAAAACTGGAATACGTGTCAGCCTTACGGACAAAAACTGGAAGTTGATTCCACAAGAGAGGAGCCTGATAACTGAAAGATCTTCCTCCCATTCTGTGTTTGGAAACTCCAGGAACCACAAGTAAACCTGCAGTCTGAGAGCAAAGTGCTCCGTTAGGAAAATATGGAACAATAAGATCTTGAATATAAGATGTAGATTAGAAGTAAGAGTTTGAATTCAGTTCTTCGTTATTAATACTATTTTATATATTTATATGTATTTATCATTTTTCATTCATTCAACCTTTATTTAGACAGGTTAATCCCATTGAGCCTCGGGGACTCGTTTACAAGACAGACCTGATTTCTTAACAAAGAGTGATGACGTTTTTAAGAACATGTTCAGTTTGCTTTATTTCACGTTTACACTAACATGGCCTTTGCATTATGAATGAAGATAATGAACAGCGTGCGAGTCATTTTTACATTTCATTGACCAGGCTCAGAGACTTTATTTTCCCTCTGGAGGGCGTACAGGCCCACATGCTGCTTCCAGTGAGCAGGAATGGGGAAGTGTTTAATTCGAGCACGGACCACTTCCTTATTCCTGACACATTTGCTGGGCTACACTGTGTGTTTGAGCTTTAGTCCTTGCAGAATAAGGGGGTGTCCCTAACGCAGTTTGTGGTCAGCGTGGCCACGATTTGCGTGGACAGTTCTCCACCGAGGTGGAGAATACATACGAATAAGACGCTTTACATTGCATGCTCTCTAAATCAAAACAAAGAACTTGGCTTTGACCTTTTTTTTGTTCATGGATTGTGGATTAAACAGTAAATAAGAACGTGCACCCTGAAGCAAGTTGCAGAAAGAGGAAGCGGTGCCTCTTTCGGATGTAATAGCAAAACCAAAATCCTTTTTTTTTTTTTGCTTGATTCTGCTTTAGTAGACTAAAATGTCTCATGTAGACATCCTCTCTGCATCACCACCACTCGCTCTCATTCAGTCTCATGACACATGTCCACACCTGCAGGAGTCAGATTATGAAAGTTTCAGAAAGCACGCCAATTACTAAATTGTCCTAAATTCACTGGAACTTGGTCATCTTGTATTCGTGTGCATGTGTGTGTGTGGAGGGATGTAAAAGTACATCAGCTCTGAGAAAGTGAGATTCCTTCTAATAATTAAAAACAGGCTATAGCGGTTATCGTTTGAACACAAAAAATAATAATTGCAACATGTCTGACATGACTGCGGAGCTCAGGCCACTAATCAAGTGACCACAACAGCAAACGCACATACAGCTGTCAGCCACAGACATTGCTGAACACCAGTCTATAAAATTCATGTAAATTATGTACTCCAACATAATACTGTGGAGAAATTAAATGAAATTTCATTCAGTTTTGCATGATGCACTGTACAATTTTGAATGACAATAACGTTTATACTGTATTTATTCATATTATTTATTATGTCTGACATGTCCTAAAATGTATATAAAACATTTTTGTTTTATTGGAGAGTTGTGATGAGGCTCACAAAACCTTAAAAAAAAAAACATGTTTGAAATATTGACAATGAATTAATTGAATAGTACTTTGTTTTGTGTTGTATTATTTTTTGGTATTGTGCACTGTATTATGTTTTTTTATTTTTACTTTTTTAAATATAAAACAACAATATTGGTATATTGTATGAACAAAGCTATGATAAACTCCCCTCTTAGTTGTTTCTTTTATTACCATTAAGCTGAAGTATTGAGTACATGGAAGTACTAAGTATTTAAGCTCCAATTGGCCCCTTTGAATTTCCAGGATATTTTTTCTTTCTGAATTTGCTGGTAAATAAGAGAAAAGTTGGACTTCGGACTTGTTTATGTTGATTCTGATTTGATTTAGTTTGTTTACATACAAGGGTTTTAATAATAATGTTAATTCTTTGCACACTGCTAAACGAGCTGAAGCATGAGCTCAAGCAGAACGCCATCTGAAAGCTAAGAAAAGCCATACCTGGGAATTGTGATGCAGAGGTCAGAGATGGTGAGCCTGTGATGGAAAGGTTGCCGGTTCAACGCCACACCTGCCTCCATCTTCTTTTGCCTCACTCTGGGCCCTTGAGCAAGGCTATAAACTCCCTGGCAGTTAGATGGCTGCTCTCTGCTCCTGATATACGCTCACATATGTAATGGGGAAAATGCAGAGAATTAATTTCCCCATTGGCGATTAATAAAGTACAATATTTATTTATTTTACTTAACTAAAAGAAGCAACATAGTAGCTAAAGGTAGCATAAGGCTAGCTAAAAGCTAAAAGTAATAGAACAGTGGCAAAAAAAAAAAACAACAACCTAAAAGTAGCATACAATAAAAAAATAGAGCAAATAGCCTGAAGAAGAATTTAAAGTGAACAATATTGTTGAAGGAACTGAATATCTCAATGTGGAAAATATTTGGGAATAAAGTTAAATGTTTTAAAAGATGTAAAAGTTACACAAATCAGAAGTCACATCATCCAGAGTACTTTGACAGGAGTCTTTCAAAGAGCAGAAAATACACACACACACACACAAAAAAAAAAAACACGTGGTAAATGGAAAAAAATAATAAAACAGGAAATATGAATGCTGAATCAGCATTCATACATTCATCAGTCCGTGATTTCTTCATTTGCTACAACTCTAAACATTAAGTGAATTATTTCCCAACAATTAAACTAAAAAGTTCAAAGTTGACTGAGCCAATCAAACAATTTAAGGGCAAACACACACCAGACTGACCACTTTCCTAAAAAGAAAGTTCAAACGCCAAACACAGTCGAATAAAAGACAAAAGACAAAAATCCCCAAAGCTCCCATTACCACCAACCATTAAGGAACTTCCAGTACAATATCAGCTTTGAGGGATAAAAAAAAAAAAAGCAATGCTTTATGATACTGACGGCCTGGAGGAGGATGAGGCAATGATGTGATGAAACACAAAATCCACAATCCGACTTTCAGTTTCTCAGGAACCGGAAGTCAAACAGCAGACAGACCCGGTGCCAAGAGGGTGTGTTCCATTTGTTCACCGGGGAGCAGCTCCGCGCGCCGGTAAAGGCGGAGCATCACGGAGCCACAGCTCGAATTAGTCCCTCCCTCGCGGGAAACGTGGCGACCAGAGGAGTCTTGCCCTCCCTCGGAGGAGGAGACCTTTTAACTCCGGTGTCATTTAAAACAGGCGAGGTGCCGAAACGAACAGGTTCAGCAGAACTTTGTAGTCTCCGCGGCACAATGCAAAGGTACCTGGCTTTTCTTGCCTATTTATTCTATTCATTATAGTCTTGTCCTTTTATCACATTAAGTGTTGAATCATGAATGAATCCACTGAGTCGGATGTGCTGAAGTTGCTGGTGTTTTTCACTTCTCTGCTCTTTTATTTTCCAAAAGTGATTATGGTTCAACACCAGTCTCGATGTGTCTTGTCCCCCCCCCAGCCCGTCCAAACCTCAGTTTGCCCGCTGGCTCATCGAGCAGGTGGAGACGGGTCAGTACGAGGGTCTGCGCTACGTGGACCAGAACAAGATCCGAGTCCCCTGGAAGCACAACTCCAGGAAGGACTGCAACGACGAGGACAGCAAGATATTCCGGGTAGGTGTCTCTGGAGCTGAACGTTTTATGACTGCTGTGATAAATGTTTATTGCTTTGTTTACTAAATGAAAACGGTGCAGAGTGCTGTTACCAGAGACATCTCACAACTAAGACAGATGCTGACCTACACTTTGGTGTGGTAGTAGTCTAGCATGATCCTCAACACATACTTTGAGCTCAAAGTGCCAAATATCTTTTATTTAAAAATGTTGCCATGAATTATTTGCAGTCAGCTCTGTTTGTTAGCAAAATATTTCCTGACAGACTGACACCCAATTTTTGTAGTAGGTTTTAATGCATTTGTGGATTAATAACATTAATAATCCAACATTTTTCAGTCAGGTCATCTGGACAGTTTCTTTTTTTTTGTGCTGAAAGGTTTCGCCTTCGATCCGGAAGGCTTCATCAGTCAAGGAAACGCACAACAAAACTGATTCTTCCCCCAACAGCTTACTCCAAAGTGGAACAAACCAGTTCTGCTTGTGATAAGATGGTCTCTTTTGGTACGCCTCTCCTCCATTGCCGGCCCCTCTTCCTTGTTGACAGTCTTGTCAAACTGGTTGAAAACAACAAAGTCCATGCTCAATAATCCAAAAATCCAGGTTCCACTTTGGAGTAAGTTGTTGGGGGAAGAATCAGTTTTGTTGTGTGTTTTCTTGACTGATGAAGCCTTCTGGATCGAAGGCGAAACGTTTCAGCACAAAAAAAAAGAAACTGTCCAGATGACCTGACTGAAAAATGTTGGATTTTATGCCTGGATTATTGAGCATGGACTTTGTTGTTTTCAACATTAATAATGTATTGTTAAAAAAAAGCATGCTGCTGAGATGAACAGTTGTTGAGATGTTAACAGGAAGTGATGACAAAGGGGAACACCTGCATGTAAACAAAGCATTGCTACAATGGCTAACGACACATAATCTGATGTTTCTTTAGATTATTTTGAGTCACATCAGAGAAAGACAAAAAGAAAAAAAGAAAAGTGTGTGTTCAAATTATATTCATCCAGAGTTCCCCTTTGATGTCACTTCCTGTTTCACTCTGGCCGCCAAGTTCAAATGAAGATACGCCAGTTATGTGAGAGAATGGTTAAAATTATGCGTATAACGCAAAATTTCTTAAATATTACGATGCTTTCTTCTATTTCTTTTATTTGCAGTATAAGCATGTCACAATCACTTTTAATAAACCTATCAGGAAAAAGTCATTGGACGCACATCTACAAGTGATGACGTTTCGGAGTCAACCCGATTCTCAAGACGGTCTCTGAAAACTCACCATAGAAAGCACAAGAAGGGCTTTAATTCAGTCAAATTGCAGATATTGTGCTAAAATGTGCTGTAGTTGTAGCTGAAGTAATTCACAACACGACACATACTTCGTTAGTCATTGTGAGTTTTTTGTGTGAAAGCATTAATTGTTGATGTCATCTCTATTGTAGCAAATTATGCCATGAACCACTAAACACATTTTAATGACTCCTTTGGAGTGTATGAGAGGCGCTCCTGTTCTGTAGGTGTTCTAATGTAAGAAGTGAATAAAATCTGTCACTTTGAATGCTCTGAAATCTTGGAGTGAAATTGCAAAACAGGAAGTACTCCGATTTAAGGAAGAAGCGGGTAAAGATAATGGATGGATGGATGTTCATCTCATGTGTGGTCCACAGGCCTGGGCAGTGGTGAGCGGAAAAATAACAGAGTTCCCAAACGACAAGGCGAGGTGGAAAACCAACTTCCGTTGTGTGCTCAACAACCTCGGCGCGCGCTTCAAGTTGATAAAAGATAATTCCAAGAATCTAGACGACCCTCATAAGATCTATGAGATCATCAACACCGAGTGTAAGACCATTAATCCAGGCCACCACATGTGCAAATGCTCCAAGTAGGAAAAACAACATGACGACCCATTTTCTTTATCTGCAGACAATTATGAAAATCTGCCGACGCAGAACTCTCAGGAGGATTTGGACATGACTTCAGATATCTACAGTCCTTCCACTGAGTTTCTCCCCTTACTGAACAAGGTGCATTATGGCCTAAAGTGAACTTCCACTTCTGTTGAACCGTTTCATATCCATAAATACCTTCTTTAAATCATCAAGCCTGAATACTTATGACTTTTTTTTCTCCACTCAGCACAATCTGCTTAATGATTTAATGGCTTTGGATCTTGGCACCCAACCAGCAGGTATAATTTCTATTTTAAAGACAATTTTGTCGTGTTCGTTTTCCCTGTAGTTTACATTAAGACTTGATTTTACTTCTAATGTCATGCAGAGGAGCAGCTGTGGGTGGAGACCTGTGTCCACCATGGTCCTGCTGTTTTTGGAAGCTACCCTGCTGCAGCAGAGAACATCCCTCAGTTTTTACCAGACCAGCCAATCTACAGTGAGGGTATGTTCATCCAACAAATAACAAAAAGGTCAGTTGTCCTTGATTCAACTTGATATTTTAATAATAATCCTATCATTTTTGTTTTTAACAGTAAATCCTGCCCCAGTCCTCAGTCCACCTCAGCAGCTAGGTCTGTATGATTTGGAGATTTCCATCCACTACCGAAAAAAGGAAATGCTGAAGACAACGCTGCAAACCAACCGTCTTCAACTCCACTACCACAGCGAGGCCCCGGAGTTCAACGCCCATCATCTCTGCTTCCCTTCCACCGAGGGTCTGCTGGACCATAAACAGGTACACTGTAACATCAACTGGACATTTTGTGTGTTGTTTAAAAAATGTCCTTCATTCTTTTTAACTTTCTACATTTTAAAAAGGCATTTAGTGTGTAAGGGGGGAAAATACAAAACATGGAAGACCAGATTCAGTACTCCAAAGTTCATGATCAATAATCCAGGTAAAAATCCAACAATGTTCAGTCAGGGCATCTGGACGGTTTCATTTTTTTCGCTGAGACGTTTCGCCCTTCATCCAAAGGACTTCTTCAATTTGAGGAGCCCACCAAACAAACTGAATCCCACAAACAACATACTCTGGTCTGGTCAGGTCTCTCTTGTAAATGAGTCCTCGAGGCTCAATGGGATTTACCTGTCTAAATAAAGGTTGATTGATACTCCATTGTGTGTGTGTGTGTGTGTGGTTGGGGGGGGGGGGGGGGGCAGTTTACTAGTCCTAAGATGGCCTCCTGGACTGCCCTCTTCCCCATCAACTCCACTATGGAATATGCTGTTTGATAAGGAAACCTGGTGGTGGAATAGTGAAGTACAGGAAGCTATTCAAAGAAAGAGGTTAGCCAATAAGAAATATGCCGTCTTTGCTTTGAGAATGCTGATGAAGAAGTACAGAGAGGGTCAGAAAGAACTCCATTGTGTCTTTGTGGATTTAGAAAAAGCATATGAGGGAGGAGGTGTGGTATTGCATGAAGAGATCTGGAGTGGCAGAGAAGTATGTTGGACTGATACAGGACATGTATGAGGACAGCAGGATAGTGGTGAGATGTGCTGTAGTAGTGACAGATCGCTTCAAGGTGGAGGTGGGATTGATGACATTGTGATCTGTGTTGAGAACAGGGAAGAGAACTTGGAGAGGTGGAGGTATGCACTTGAAAGATGAGGAATGAAAGTCAGCTGTAGTAAGACAGAGTACATGTGTGTGAATGAGAGGGAGGAGGTGGACCAGTGACACTACAAGGAGCAGAGGTCACAAAGGTGCAGGGCTTCAAGTACTTTGGGTCCTCTGTCCAGGAAAATGGGGAATGTGGTAAAGAGGTGAAAAAGAAAGTCCAGGCAGGATGGAGCGGATGGAAAAAAGTTTCAGGAATGATTTGCAACAAAAGGGTGTCAGCAAAGGTCAAAGGAAAAATTTATGACAGTGGTGAAACCAGCTATATTGTATGGGCTGGAGACAGTGGCATTGACAAAAAGACAGGAGAAACTGGAAGTAGCAGAAATGAAGATGTTGAGGTTCTCCTTAGGAGTGACAAGGATGGATACGATTAGGAATGAGATCATCAGAGGTACAACACATGTTGAACAACTGGGACATAATGTTAGAGAAGGCAGACTGGACATGTCCAGAGGAGGGACAGTGGGTATATTGGTAGAAGGATGCTAGAAATGCAGCTGCCAGGTGTTAGGATAATTTAATTATCCCATAATAGCTTGTTAAATAAATATGCCACACAGGAGAGAAGATATTTTCTTCCCAGGTTTAATCTTGCAAGATGGAGCATTGTTGAAATAACAAGCATCAAGATGTTTCCATGGCACTTCGTCTCCAAGCCTGCTCAAAGAGAGCATAAAGAAGTGTTTTTTTAAAATGTTATCAGAGGCGCTGTCTTTCAAATTAGGGCCTTGAGTTTATCAGGTGAAAAGCTCCATGCTTCATTTATTTTATTTAACCTGTATTTAACCCGGTAAATCCCATTCAGATCACAGATCTCTTTTAGCAAGGGAGGCCTGGGCCTGAAGGCAGCCTGACGTTCATGTTTTTGGTCTGCGGGAGGAAAGCGGAGTACCCGGAGAAGACCCACGCAAGCACGAGAAGAACATGCAAACTCCACACAGAAAGACCCCAGGTCCAACCGGGGATAGAACCCAGGACCTTTTTGCTGCGAGACAACAGTGCTAACCACTGAACCGTCTTGCTGCCAAACTTCAGCAGCACTCTGTCCAGACAAAACAGCTCAACACACACACACACACAGGGTAATATGAGTTCTAACATTTGAGTTTAGTAGGTGAAAAACATCTGTGACCTTTCACATCTCCATCACCAGGAAAAAGATAGAGGAGATATATGGATAGTTAGAGAGGACATGGAGGTAGCTGGAGTCAGGACAAGAGGATGCAAAGGACAGAGTGAGATGGAGGAGTCTTCACCTTCATTATGAGTTTTTAAGGAAACTATAGATTTAGGTAACGGCAGAGGAGTTGAATAAAACATTTTTTTAAGGGCACATTATTCCTTTTAGTTTTATTCTAATGTCATATTGTCAATTCTAATGCTAGAAAATATTCTGGCATCTAGTATGGATGCCCCCTGGATGCCTGGAAGGTATTTCGGGAATGTCTAACTGCGAGGAGACCCTGAGGACCTGAGTCCTGAAGACTCGGGACATGCTGGAGAGACTTGTGTATCTTGGCTGGCTTTGGAATCCTCTCAGAAGAGATGGCTATGGAAAGAGATGTCTGGCCCTCCCTGCTCGAACGGCAGCTAATTCTATCCTAATGCTATCCTTTTGTTTGTCACAGACTGAATACACCAACCGCATCCTCAGCAGCATCCAGCGTGGTCTGTTACTGGTGGTGCACGAACATGGTATATATGCTACGCGACACGACAAATGCCATGTTTTTGCAAGCACCAGTGACCCCAGTGTGGCTCACCCCAACGCCCAGAAATTACCCACAAACACCACGGTGGAGCTTCTCAGTTTTGAAAAATTTGTTAATGGTAAATTTGGGTTTTTAACCACTTTTCAGTGCATAAAACTACTGCTTTAAGCTGCTGGTGTTTAGTTAAACAGCTTTATTTGTGTGTGTGTTTTAGAGCTTAAACAGTTCAAGGAAAACAATGGCAGCTCTCCTGAATACACAATCAACATGTGCTTTGGAGAAAAGTTTCCTGATGGAAAACCGTTAGAAAAGAAGCTCATCGTTGTGAAGGTAACCCTTTTTGCAATTTGATATATGTTCCTGTTCCTGTCAGTAAAGTTTGGTAAAATCTCCCTACTTTTACGCCCGCAGGTGGTACCTCTAATCTGCAGATCCCTTCATGACATGGCCCAAACGGAGGGGGCTTCTTCACTTCACAGCACCAACATCAGCCTTCAGATTTCACACAACAGCCTCTTTGACCTCATCAACTCTGTGTTCGCTCTCCCAGGAGCTGAAGAGCCACCACAGCTGACGACCGCGCCTTCCTTTGCTCACATGTGAAATTAATCACTCTGATGCGTTAAAGCAGCTAAAGTTGGAAAGAACTAAATTAGCTTCTTACAAATACAGCATGATCGAATATCATCGTTCATCTTTGATTCACTTTACAAACTGATTTTTTTTTTACCACTAAAAAAGTAGAAATAGTCATGTTGGAGAAACTGTTACATACGCCGTTATTTATACAATTACTGTACATGTCAAATTATATTTTAGTTGTACTGTTTAGTTCAGCTGGTGTTATCTTAATGTATAAACAAAAAGATGGTAAATCCAGGAAAACTCTGGTAAGATTTTATTAATTTATTTATATAACTTGTAAATATACAAATCAATGTTTTTAATATTGTTTGTGTATCGCATTTGATGAATTAAAAAAACGTTCCCTGTGGGTATTTTTTTTTTCGTGTCATATTAATCTGTTTTACTTTAATTTATCAAAACTGTAAGAGTAAGACTGGTACTGCTAGAAAAAGATCAATCCATTTAAAACCTTTGAATGAACTCCAGTATAACATTGTGTATGTGTACACATGTGTAAAATGCAAATAAAAGGTCACTAATTTAAAGTGTCAGTGATGTGAATCCTATAAAAATAACGTAACATACAGCTGAAACCAGATATTTACATACACCATGAAAAAAAAAAAACTGGACCATTTTTCCCACTCTTTAATGTCTTGTAAAAACATTCCTATTGGCTAAAATCAAATTCTACATAGGCTGCCTTGTTTTGAAAGAAGACAAATTCCTGTTTTTATTGTTTTTATTTATATACTCTGAGAAACACCTGGTTGGTTTGATCAAGTAAAACAGAAAAGAAGAAAAACATTTAACACATCTGTTCATCAGAATCTTCCTGGCTAATGAAGCTTATTATGTACAAATGATGTAAAACAAGCAAAGTCCAATCATCCTGCGAGTCGGTCTTTACAGCAGGCTGCTAAATGATGTACAGTAGACATGATGAACAGTTTAGTGAGACAGCACTGCAGATAAGACCATGACATAAAGTAAAGTTTAGGCAGAAGACACGAGTCTTATCTGCTGCCGAGGTAAATCTGTGCATTGTTCCAGGCCAAAGGCAACTCTTAACGTTTACATCTTAAAAGGGATAATGTGGTTTAGGACATGTATAAGTTACCTTTAAATTGTCTCACAAACCAATAAAATTATGTCAAATTTAGCTATTTATAGAGAAAGTAAAAAAAAGAACTTTTTTTTTTTTAATGTTTGACATAACACCATCAGGTTAAGACTGGAGGAAATATGGGATATAAACTTTTTTTTTTTTTAAGAAAACGAAGTTGTGACTGCCACTGATATTAAGTGCACATTTAGTCATTCTTAATTTAGAATAAAATCATCACTATCTCCTCGGAAACTGCTCGTCAGCTGTTTAAATAAAACGCGCAGAAACCAGGCATTGAACGTGTCATTTTCTGGGGGAAACGAGGCTTTTAATTGTTGGTTTTCTAAAATCTACATTGCTGATACGAGAAAGAATAATAAGAACTTTCTACATTTTTCCAATGTGAAAAAAAATCTGTCTTCAGAGAACTAGCTAATAACCGAAGAACATATATTTGAAAGCCACAGAGGCTGTAATAACTGGTCGTCTTTTGGACTTAGTTTAGCCAATTATAATTAAATATTAGATGTGAAAGCTTTTCAAATATACATCTGAAATCAACTCTATAAACAGGCAACACCGACAAAAGACACAAGAAATTAAAACACTGACTTATTTACAATTAAATCTAAAATAGTTTTGTCATCATACAGATGCATGTTTTACAAAAATTGCATAACAGTGCCTTTTATTAGTGTGAACCTCTTGAACAAGCAATATGCTGATTAGTTTCACCACTTGTGAATCAGTTTGTTTTGACGCTCATAAATAGCCCATCGCTCTTATTAAAAAATATTCATAGAAAACTCAAAATCAGCATTACAATGCATCCTTTCAGAGGTACGGCCAATCATGGAAAAGACTATTTACACTTTCATGGGAGATTTGATGAGTTCTGACTATGTAAAAAAAACAACAACAAAAAAAAACTTTAAATTTCTGAGAGGTACAACACAAACAGACCAGCTTCTGGCAGTTAACGTCCCAGTAAAAGACACAAATGGGTGACATTCAAGTCTTTTTACAGATAGTTTGCGGTCAAAATATGAGAATAGAAAGTTCAACTCAAAAGACAAACTATGGTGGTACAATGAGCAAAATCTGAGTTTCCTATGAGTATGTTTGAGATCCTTCCCTGGTACAAGAAGCTGGGAAAGTGGTTGTCCTTGCTCGTTTTTACAGCACCTCATGGACTGGCAGATATGTCCATCGGCTCGTTCTGCTCCTCAGCTACTTTTTCAAAATCCTCTCCTTTTTTATGTTTCCTTGCATGTTTGTATTTTTCCACATAAGCCTTGATCAGATTTCCCACTTTGACTGGGTTGATTTCCCCACTCTTGCTGTGGCACACCTGGTGACCAGTAACACAAAATTACAGAAAATAAACTGAAAACTTGAAACAATTACACAAACCAATCTTCAAAACAAACGAGAATATCTTACAACCACTAAAAAAAATTACGTCTTAGTTTTTGGCAAACAGTCATTTGACTCACCTTCTGAACCGCTTTACGCAGAATGTCTTTGTATTCCTCCTTGTTGATGTCTCTGTTTTGATAAAAAGGCTTGATGGCTAACTTCACCTCCTCGACAGCTCTCTCCTGCATGTGAAGCTTTTTCAAGTACTGTTTGTAGGAGTAAAGCATTGCTTAATTCACAAGTTTTCACACCTAATACAGTTTTCATGAAACAAAATTAGAACGTAAATAAGTCATATATGTAGTCAGTATCGTCATTGAAACTATTTTAAATATCACATTAACCTTGTCTTTTCTCGAAAAATCTCCTTCCTCTGCTTCTCCTTGTCCAGTTGTCGACGACTCCCCAGGTTGAAAACCAGTGGAGCTTGAGCTGTTGTCGAGTAAACCAACAGCACTTCTCTTAGAGGGGTCACTCGCAGCTCCTACAATCTCCTGCCGAAATCAAGAAAGACTGCGCTTCAAATCACAGCTCCAAAACCAACATGACTGAAAAAAGCATAGCATCTTTAAGGTAATTCAGATTTAATAGCAGTTTAGTTAAAAAAAATATATAAAACTTCCAACCAAAAACAATTCATGTTTGAAATGCACTGGTGCTAAGCTATTGTTACATAAATATTCTGGATTTTACTGTATAGGCATCCATGTTACATAGAAAACAATAAACACTAAAATCAGTTTCTCAATGATGGCATTAATTTTAAATTAGGGATTACAATGTATTTGATCACTTCTACTTTCATTTTATCTGAAAATGCCTCAGTATCAGTTTTAGTTTCTGCCACGTGACGTTCACAAACAATACACTGAATTCTCCTGGATACACACTGCCACCTTCATGTCATTACTGACAATACATGCCAACGTGCATGTTTAAGAACCAATGATATGAAACGAACAAAAACTTGAAAAATTGAATTTCCTACAAAAATACAGCTTATTGCTGAAGAACTTGCTGAAAAACAGACGAAATTAGCACAAAAAAAACCATGCTGAATTGTAGCTGAAATGAAAGAACAAGCCTGAATAGCAGAAAAAAGCCGAAAGAACACATTTTTGCTGAATTTGGTATAAATTAGCAGAAATGAGCAAAGAAACTGAAAAGAAGCTGAAAAGGCAGAAAGAAGCTTAAACTACTGGAAGGAATTGGAAAGAGCTTAAATGAGCTAAAAAAATGGGGAAAAGTTGAAATGTTTGCAAAAAAACAGCTAAATAGTCTCTGAAATAGCAGAAAAAGCTGAAAGGAGCAGAACAAGCTGAAATTAGCAAAAATAAGTTAATTAAGTTGAAAGTAGCAAAAATACCATGAAAAACTTGAATTTATCTGAAAACAGCTGAAATTAGCTAAAAAATGCTAAAATGGTAACTGAAAAGGTAGAACAAGCTTAAATTAGCAGAAGAAAGAAGAAATAACATGTTTGTCCAATTAGGCTGAAAGAAGCAGAAATGAGCACAAAACAGTGGAAATTCGCTGAAAAAAGCTGAAATTAGCTTAAAAAACAACGACAACTAAAAAAGGCTGAAAAATACCTAAAAAAATCAGAAAGAAGCCTAAATTACCAGAAGTAGAGAGCACATTTTTGCTGAATTAGGCTGAAAAAAGTTTAAATGAGTACAAATAATGTGGAATTACAGTAGCTGAAAAAGCTAAAATTAGCATAAAACAGCTAAATAGAAGCTGAAATAGTAGAAACAGCTAAAACTTGTAGATATAAACTGAAAGAAGCATAACAAGCTGAAATTATCAGAAGTTAGAAGAAGCACAAAAATGTTGTAGTTAGCAGAAAGAATTGAAAGGAGCACAAAACAGTAAAAAAAAAAAAAACTGCTGAAATTAGCTGAAAGTAGCTGGACAAAAGTTTAAATTTGCACAAGGAAGTTGAAAGAAGCTGAATCAGAACAAATTGTGAAAGGAGCAGTAAAAGGTTGTAAACAGATCTAAAAATCTGACGGATGTACAATGAGCTTAATTAATTTTCTGAGGAAAAAATGGCAGAAAAGGCTAGATTTTTCAAAAAGCTAAAATTGCACCAATACCAAAAGTCATTGCAGGATTGTCCTGAAAGAGCTGAATGTTTTGATATACGAGTTAAAAACTGCAGGACAAAAATCGCGCTGAAAAATGTACGGGAGAAAAATGGATCACATTTGTGTAAATGCCTCATAAACATTCACACAATTAGATTAAGTCAGCAGTGGACCGTGGCTCATCTCACCTGACTGGCTGCTTGAACTGCCAAAGACTGTTTACGAGATCCTTCCTGCTTCAGCTTCAGTTTATACAAAGCCAACTCTGTGCAAAGAAGAAAAGAATACTTTAGGAGGATATTCACGTTTCTAATCCATCTATAATTCCTCAAGAGTGAAGACAGGTAACTAAAGGGAAGCAGCTCAACAACACTTACTGCTTGGTGATTTTTCTGGCAGAGGTCCCTCTGGTTCCTGTATGTTCCACGTAACTCGCTTCACTTGAGTTTTGGACTTTAATCCCACTGCAGTTGATGCCGGCTCTTCCTCTTCCTTCCCCTGCACCACTTCTTTTTCCTCTTTGGCAGCTGCACCACTACACTCTATTTGATCTGATTTCACATAATCAAGATTATCCAGCATCAAATCAACATTGAAATCCTCGTCAGAGTCTGAGGATTCCTGTTTTGTGGGTGCTGTTAAACCAGCTGTGTCTTGTTCTTTGTCTGAGTCCAATGATACTGGCTCAGACTGTGGTACCGGGTCCTCGAGGACATCTGTGGTAACAAGTGTAGTGAGCGTACAAGATGGGAGAACAGAAGGACTTGGCTCAGATTTGATGTTGGTGATATCATAAGACTCTGTCTTGCAGGGATCCTCCACTGCCTCATCTGTGTTTTTGCTTTTTGCCAGGGAGGTGGAGTCACTTTCTTCACTTTTTCCTGGTTTTGTGATCGGAAAATCTTCAAACATATCTACAGATTGTGCCTTTTCATTTATTTCTTTTTCAATCTTAATTTGTTTTTGATTTTCTGTAGCTATAATCTTGCTGTCTGCATCAGAGTCACTCCTTTCTTTTTTGACTTGGGAAGTAAAAACACTGGAGGGCACATCCTGCTTGTTTACTTCAGCACACTCTGCTTCTTCGATGTTTCTATGACTAACATTGTTGTCTTTTGTCCTTTCGTGTGAGCGATTTGTGTCTCTGAAGGATGAAACGTGTATATTTGAAGGTTTCTTTGTACTTCTGGATGATCCATCTTTCCTCCTGTCTCTTGATCTGGACCTAGATCTCCTTGGTCTCCTCTCATCTTTAGAGCGCTGTTCCACTTTGCCTCGAGACGAGAGAGACGTACGTTGATGTCTGCTGTGCTCTTTCCTCCTTTCCCTGGATCTAGAGCGTGATTTGGAGCGAGATACACTACGTTTGTCTTTAGAAATGCGCCGTCTCTCGTAGTCCTTCTCCCTGTGATCACTTCTCTCCTTGCTTCTTTGTTGATACCTTTTCGTCCTTGAACGCTCTCTACTGCTGGAGCTAGATCGTGACCTGCATCATTTGAGATGACAAAATTCTTAACCAGACAATGCAAATTGGCTTAAACCTTTAAAAATGGTCAAACACATAGTCATTGCTTGGTTAGCATTCCACATATTCCAAATCATGCTACTCTTACCTGGATCGCCTCCTCGTTTCGTCTGCGGATCGTGACTGAGACCACCGCCTCTTTCTACGCGTTCTCTCTGGAGAGTTGGGCTGAGAGCTGTCAGAGGTTGAATGAGCCCTTCTTCTTTCCCTTGACCGCGACCGCCTGGACCTACCGTCCTTGTACTTTTCTTTATTTCTGCTTCTCTTATCGGAGCCATGTCGATATTCTCTTCTGTCCCTGTCCGTTTCAGAACTACTAGACTGTTGCTCTTTAGAAGCTTTGGAAGTTTTCTTTTTACTGTCCAAATCTTTTGATGGAGACTTGGAACAGGATGGGAGATCTGATTTAATGTGTTCCTGCTGCCTCTTCTTGGTGGTTGTAGACCTGGATGCTGGTGAATCATCCCTGTAGTTAAGGAGAGACCTGCTGGAAGACTTAGCACCATGTCCACTCTCCCCTTCAACCTTTTGCTCAATTTGATCAAAGCTTTGCTGAACAGGTGGTGTGGCACTTGTCACCTCACTTTTGATCTCATTCTCACTTTTAATCCTGCCATCATACTCTTCAGACTCCTCCTGTTCAGATTCATCTGAATTTGGTTCCTGCTTAACGTTGGTTTCAGGGGATACCGTTTGTTTCTCAATATTTGCGTCCTCTAATTCAGATTCCTCTTCAACTTGGACAGAATTATCTAATAATTTTATATTTTGTGATACAGTATTCAGAGCACTTCCAGGTTCTTCTTCTTCTTCTTCTTCAGTCTCCTGTGTTTCCGTTTTCACGTGCACCAGATCCTGCTGGTTGGAAACTGGATCCTTGGTTTCTGAAAAACGAGTTCTCCTTTCACGTGTGGCAAACAGAGGGCGGCGGTAGAAGCTCGGGCTCACGGCTTCATCCCCCGAGGTACTTGGATCTGATAGTGTAGGATTAAAGGGATCATAAACATTATTATTATTATTACCATCATCTTGTTCCTCGTTGGCCGCAGCTTTTGATGTCAGCAGCTTTTGGTTGTCCTTGTGCAATTGCTTCTTTTTTGCTTCCTCCTCCTCTTCCTTTTTGCTACTTCCAGTAGGAAAAGGTGATGCAAAACTCAGACGCTTTGCACGCCAGGAGTTTCCACTCGACTTTATGCGAAAACTTACAGCTGAAGATGAAGAAAATAAGGCATGTTGTGGTTGGCTGGCAGAGGTGCCAGAGGAGGAGGAAGAGAAAGAGTTTGAGAAGGATGATGATGAGCTTGCCCTGTCAGGCCGGTTCTGCTGGGTCTGACTATCAGAATGGCTCTTTTGCTGGTCTACACTTTGCTGCCTTCCTTTGTCCCCAGACAGACTGTTTATACTACCTTCAGGTAAGCCAGAACCATTATTAGCACCTGAAGAACTGCTGCTACCTCCTTTACAACCAAAAACTTTATTACCGTCATAACTGCCACTTTGACTAGTTCCATCATTTGTGGAATTGCTACCCTCTCTTTTTATTTTTGGTATTCGTGGAAGCACTGCCACATCCACCCATGTTGGTTTTAAACTTGTTTTTTTAGGTTGGGACTGTGATGGAGTCACTTCTTTGCTTTTGAAGTTGGAGTCCTGAATGGGGTGAACAGATGAGGAGGTGGTTTCCCTTGTGGATCTAACTCCATTGGCATCCTGGTGACAAGGAGATGAGGTCGGTCTGTTTGGACAAGGAGGAGGCAAACCTACATTTCCTCTCAGCGGTGGAATAAAGGAGGGAGTTGGGTGGATAGGGTTGGCTGAGTGGGACGTGAATGAAGGTGAAGGGGTTGACTGCTGGGTCAAAAGCCCATTCACTGATGAATGGAAAGATCCTGGTAGATTGCTGTTGTGATGGGGAGATGAAAAATTGTCTCCCATGTTAGATGAAAACCCTGAGCTGCCAAGGGCACTGGCATCTCCAGAACTGCTTTTTCTGCTACTTGACAGCATCGCTGTAATTGAAAAAGTAGAATGAACAAGAAATTGTTTTACTTTCCCCTCAAAGAAATAACTTGAACATAAGACTTTATTAAGGAGAATTTGAGCCCAACTACCTGTTGCTTAAAAACACTTTTTACAGCGTTCATTTTTCACACAAAAGCATAATTTGACACAACTCTTTATCGGTGCCAACTATTTGAAGGAACCTGTTGTAATCAGATAGGGTCAAGCTTTTCATAGCATCCAGGGACAGAAAATTCAATACATTAATGCATCCAAAAATTTAACATCTTGACAAAAAAAAATAATAATTCAGCAGGTCAGAAGGTGTACCCCGCCTTTCGCACTGTGACTGCTGGATATAGGCACCAGTGACCCCCATGACCAACAAACGAAGAAGCGGGTAAAGATAATGATGGAAGGTCAATTACACATAATCTGACAAATATCACAGCAGAGAAAACACCACAAGTTCTAATCTTTTACAACAATTAATTAATATTCTCAGTACCTATGGAGAAAGATGGGACTGTTTTGTATTTCCCAGAACTTTGATGATACTGCAGAGCCATAGTTAGCCTGTACCTAAATAATATGTCAAACAATTAAATAATTACTGCATGGTGCGTGCATTGCAGTAATGTGTTCAAAGATGACTCTTCCAAGTCTTGTTTGCATCACATAAACCACAACACAGAGGCAACTCAACATATTAAAAAAAATGTGTGCTGCTGCAGTTCATGAACAATATAATCGTTTTTCTTAACATTAAATTGGATGTGAAAAAATATTTGCTGTGCAGTGGTAGCAAAAAAGAGGAAGACTACCATAAACTTCACTTAATGTTAAAAAGCAATTTGGCTGTTGTATTTTATGAAGTTGTAAATGTTACAAAACCAATTTCTGAAAAGTGTTTGACATCCTTACTCAGTTACAAACAGCTATGAATGAAACACTGGAGGCACTACAGACCTCCTTCTTTGCCATACAGAAGATGGTGAATATTTATAAACCAGATGTGTTTGATTTTCAACAGCAAAGCTAAATCTATCAGTCTATTTCAACAAGAAAATGCATTTTGTAATTAGAGATAAATAAAGTAATTTCTATAAACACATCCAGCACATAAGAGTTTAGTTGCTTTTCAGAAATGGACATGTTCTTACTTGGCTTTGAAGCTTTAAGCGAACCATCTCGATTAATGACGACATCAGAACTGTCCATCAAGAGCATGCTCTGTCCAGACAAAATGCTGCCCAGTAGATCAGGAACAGGTGCTGCCTCCACAACGCCCCCTGCGTGTGGGACATCCACACTACTCCTGGTAAATGATGGGAAATTAGATTTATTCAGATCTCTCAAGTGTACAAGTACAGTTGAAACCAGAAGGTTACATACACTATTTAAAAAGACACATATGCATTTTTTTTTTTACACTGTCTGACGTGAAATCAGAATAAACTTTTCCCATTTTAGGTCAATTAGGATTACCAACATTTTTTCTATTTGCAAAATGCCAGAATAATGAGTGAGAATTTTTTAAGGCAATTTTCATTACTTTCGTCAAAGTCAAAAGTTTAAATACACTTCATTAGTATTTGGTACCATTGCCCTTCAACTGTATGACTTGGGTCAAACGTTCTGGATATCCTTCCACAAGCTTCTCACAATAGTTGGCAGGAATTTTGGCCCATTCTTCCTGACAGAACTGGTGGAACTGAGCCATTTTTGTAGGCTGCATTGCTCACACATGCCTTTTCAGCTTTGCCCATAAATTTCCGATAGGACTGAGATCAGGGCGTTGTGATGGCCACTCCAAAACATTGACTTTGAGCCACTTTGTAACCAGTCTGGCAGATGCTTCGAGTCAATAGCTATGTTTACATGTGCAAAATTCTTTGATCAGATTGAAATGTATTCAGATTAAATAATCCAAATGTATCGTTTACATGGGCACAATCCGATCATGACGAGCGTTTACATGCAGCAGGCTTTTATTCTGAATAGAAGTACTGACATGTATGTAAACTTCTAGTTTCAACTGTAACTAACACCTGATCATCAACGACAAGATTTTTTTTGCAAAAAAAGTTCTACTTTTCTGTTTTCCCAAAATATGTTATTTTTACTTGTTTAGTCGTTACAGTCACAATTATTAATTATTTCGTATTTATTTTCTAACAAATTACCAGTAGTAATTTTTAGGTTAAGATAGTGAAGTTTGATGGGATGTGTTGGTGCCAGTTTCAGTGAGATACTCTATATTACATAATGAACAGCACATGATATGCATCATTGAGTTAGTGTCTGCATTAGTTGATTTCAAGGATTACAGACTTCTTAAGATCTGAAATATAAAGCTGTGCTTCATTACTGTTAGATGACTTTCCTAATTGTGAGGAATATTTTTAAAACAGTTTAACATTTCTTGTATTCCTGATTGTTCAATATATCTCAACAATGCACATATGATAACACAACAGGTGACAGTAATTTTCCAAAATTTAAAACAGCATTAAGACATAAAAAATAAATACATAATGCAAGAAATCAAGAACAGGACCATTTAGATTTTAAAACTATAGCTAAAACTTTATGTGACAGACCAGAAGTAAAGTAGTGTTACCTGGAGAGGCTTGCAGTGACTGGTCGAGCCACTGGCTGGTGAGAGCGAAGGGCAGAGCGAGAAATCCCTCGCCTCTTAGCTTCTAACAGTGATGTAACGCTGGCCTCCTGTTCTAGCTCCTCACTGATGAAAAGAACACCAACTTTCAAAATAGTAAAATAGTGCATAAATATTATAAATAAATATTGTCAATTAAATCCAAATATAAACTCTTTCTGAACTCTTGTGCACTTAAGGTTCAAGGTTCTTTATTGTCATTTGCATCACATGTGGTACATGAAGTCGCATCACATGTGGTAAATGAAGTGGAACCAAATTGTGTACTCAAGGTCCCAGTTACACCCAAAATTTGCAAATATATAAAGTATAAAAAGACACAGTATATAAGGATCTAAGATATACGCTAAGATATACGCTAAACAATATGCTAAAAGATCTAAAATATATGCTAAACAATATGCTAAACAATATGCTAAAAGATCTAAGATATATGCTAAACACTAAAAACGTAAAACAATACGGTGTATTACACAGCAGCCCGAACATGAGTCTATATGTTGAGTAGATGGGTATGCTCCTTCTGAAATCCATGATCATCTCCTTCATTTTCTTCACATTGATGTGAAGCTTGTTCTTCCTGCATCAGCTCTCCACCTCCTGCCAGTAGCCGGACTCATTGTCGTTTGTGATTAATCCAACCACCGCTGTATCGTCCGCAAACTTTACAATGACAGCCTGGATGGGTAGATGCGCAGTCATATGTGAGCAGAGTGAAGAGAAGGGGGCTCAACACACAGTCCTGGAGGGAGCCAGTGCTGAGGGTATGGTGGAGGAGGAGAAGGTGTGAGTCCTCACAGACTGCAGTCTGTTGGTCAAGAAGTCCAGAACCCAGTTGCATAGAGATGGGCTTAGTCCTAGTCTAAGTAGTTTGTCCATCAGGGTCTGGGGAATCATGGTGTTGAAGGTGGCTGTGAAGTCCACAAAGAGCATACAAATGTAGAAGTCATTCTGCTCCAGGTGGGTGAGAGCAGTGTGGACCACAGAGGAGATGGGAGTCCTTTGTTGATTGATTCTTGCGGTATGCATACTGGTGTGGGTCCTCGCTGATATTGATGGTAGCTTTGATGGGCCATGACCAGTCTTGCGAAGCATTTAGCGACTATAGGGGTGAGGGCTACTGGCCAGTAATAAATCCGACCAGTCACTGCAGAGCTCTTAAGAACTGGGATGGTGGCGGCCTTCAGGCAGGTGGGAACAGTTGCCAGGGTGAGGGAGGAGTTAAAAGACATCGACCAGCACCTCACAGAGCTGGTCAGCACAGTCTCTCAGCACCCTCCCCCGGCATGTTGTCTGGGCCAGTTACGTTGTGAGGATTGATCCTTCTGTAGATCCTCTTTACTTCAGCTGAGGTAATGCTAAGGAACTCCTCTTCAGATGATGAGGTGGGTCTGGTGCTGGGTGGTCTATTTGGGTCTTCAAAGTGGGCATAGAACCTGTTAAGAGCCTCAGGCAGTGATGGGTCCCTAGGGCATTGTGCACCCCTGCTTTAGTCTGTGATGCACTTAATGCCCTTCCCCATGCTCCGTGGGTCCCATAAAGAGAAATGTCCCTGGATCTTCTGTGCGTAAGTTGCTTTGGCCCTTTTAATACCAGCAGCCAGCTCTTTCCTTGCCTTCCCCAGTTCATGTGAGTTGCCAGACCTGAAGTCAGTATCCCTGGCTTTCAGCAGGGTACAGACCTCTGTGTTCAGCCAGGGTTTCAGGTTCAGGTAGCACTACACAGTCCTGGTGGTGGTGACATCATCAGCACACTTGCTGATGTATCCGAGGACAGCAGATGTGTATTCCTCCAGATCCTGTTCTCCCTCATTTACAGCAGCCTTCCTGAAGATCTGCCAGTCTGTGCGAGCAAAACAGTCCGGCAGTACAGAATCACTGTTGCTGGGCCACAGGGTGATGGTCCTCTGTGTGGATCTGGAATGTCTCAGTGGGTGGGATGTAGACAGAGATCATAAAGATGGAAATGTGGTCAGAGAGGCCGAGGTGGGGGCCAGGTACAGCTTTATATGAGTCTCTTATGTTGGTATAAACATGGTCTAGTGTGTTATTTCCTCGTGTTGGTATTGTCACATGCTGATAAAATCTTAGCAGTGTCTTTCAGTTTTATGTAATTAAAATCACCAGCCACCACAAAAAAAGCCTACGGACGCTTGTTTTGAAGTGAGCTGAAGCTGATGTTGTCATGTAGTCCCTGCAGAGTGTCTTTACCATTTGACATTTCACAGTTAGTTGTTCTAAAGCCTTGGAGCAGGAACTGTTTATCAGAACGCAGTTTGTGGACCAACCTTTGTTTACGCATACTCTGCCTCACCACGTCTTCCGCGATAGCACGCTTCGATCTGCCCTAAAAAAATTATGTTATCCAGCTGAAAGGCTGAGTCTGGCATGTTGCTATTAAGCCATGTTTCCGTGAGACAGAGTACAACACAGTTCCTCATCTTCTCTAAGGCACTCACTTTCAGTCGCAGCAGATCCAGCTTATTTTCAAAAGAGCGGACATTGGCCAGGAACAGAAATGGGATTGGCGCTCTGTTAGCATTAGCCTTCAGTCTCGCACTCCGCCCCATCTCCTTCTCTTCTTCCCCCGGGCACAACGCCTCCTCCTCTTCTTAGAACGCTGCTGCCTCCACGCTGATGTCCATTGAAGCTACAATCTGCCGAGTGTAGTTTTCAGATTGTTGTCCACCGCTGCTGTATTCAAAGTCAAACCTTGTCTTATGCTAAGAAGTTTGGTTCGGCTATAATTCACAAACGCTTAAAGCGAGCGGAGTCTGGCTCGGAGCTGATTTCAAAACGGAGAAAAGCTGGGTTTCCATCGGAAACCTGAGAAGCTGCGGGCTCAGATGTGCGTGGCCATCTTGGCATGGGGCATGGCCAATGGCATGGGCATCATTTTATATTATAGAAAAAATAATCCTATTATGAATTTCAAAAAATTTTTTTTACACATTATGCGTGTTGTAGAAACCCCGACCCCACCCCCCAAAATTAGCACAACCTAAAATGAAGGTGTTTGGTGCCGAAAGATTAAAGGCCGAGTAAATCAAAAACATGTCACATGATCAAACATTATTAAGCCTCCTTACTGATCCACAAATGGATCCAAATCAAATGGATCCCCATAGATGGACAGGGATGCAGCTCCTATGTCAGCACGCATGTTGCTTAATGTGTGCTCTGACGGCCGGTACACAACAGGAAGTGAAGAGCTCTTCTTGTCCTTAACAATCCCAAGATTATTAGCAATACGGCTTCTGGGAGTGGCTGCCTTTTTCACCACCTATTAAAAAACAGAACAACGAGTTTACTTACAGATACTATAAAAATGACATTGTTGATGTAATTTTATTCCAAAAATAAAATCAAATGTTAAAACAAACATTGTAGGGATACACTCACTAGTTTTTTCTTGGATCTAGTCCTCCTTACTCTACGTTTCCTTCTTTTGATGCCTGTGCTTTCAACTCGACCATTTTTACCCTTAGTAGATGTTGTCTTTGTACGTTTCACTTTTCTTCGTTTTCCTGTTCAACAGTCATAAGATATCATCACAAAGAAACTACAATAAACCCCTGAAATAATTTGGTCTGGCTTGTTCATTTGAATGTGTTCATACTTACGAGTTTTGCGTCTGTGACTCGATGGGACTCGAGGTGTGATGTCCCGTACATACACAGCCGTGTTAAGCCCAGCAACCACAGCATTAATAGTTTCATCGAGCCAAGTGGACTGTATCAGATATGTTGGAGCCAACTATAAAATAAATGTCTGAATTACTTTCCTGCTGTGCTTTCACAAACTTTAGTTGTGCAAATGTAGCTTACATACACATGTACACTTTTGTCACCAGTTAATCAGAACAAAAACCCAAACATATCATTATCGGTTAGTTTGGTGCACACACGAGCAAACATTTTTGAGGTAAAGACATTTGATTTAAAATCTAAAAATGCACTTATGCTATGGGTTAGGGTTAGAAAAGTAGCCAAAACAGAAGCATCACGCCTCATGCCAAACCTGTGATGTTCGTGCCTGTGTGATGCGATGCCTGTTGACGTTGGCTCGGACCCTCTCACTCTGCTGAGTACGTGCGATAGCTCTGGTAGGACCTACAGCACGAGTTTGGGCTCGACTGGTGGCAGGACGGACAGGAGAGGACAGGCCGTCTGTTTCACTAAGCTCCACACCTGAACCGCCTGAGACAAAATAATATGCAAGTATGATCTTTTTACTCATACTGTAAACATTTGCAGCTGCCGTATTTTTCGGTTTATAAGTCGCACTTTTTTGCATAATTTACATGCCCTGCGACTTATAGGCCAAAGCAACGTATTTATGGATTTTTTTTACCACATTTATAAACCCAATTTTTGGCTGAGATGACGGTTTCCATTCATTCTGACTGAAAATAAAAATAATAATTGAGCAGTACCAAGCTTAGCCACTAGATGGCAGCAGAGTAGTAGTAGCAGTGTGGCATGCCGTTGTATCATGTAATAGGTAAACGTGGCTTTAATGACAAAATTGAAAAAGTTCAAGACAAAAAAACAACTGGACTTTATTATACTTTATACTTTATTGTATTTTTCTTGAACTTTTTTGAATTTACCATGTCCTGGATGACTTGAGAATCTTCACCAGCTATTAATGACTCAGTCAGCTTGCCACAGTCTCCCCACCTTCATTCTGCTCGCTGCTTGGACCGACCGTCAAACCAGCTGCACCGCCCCGGTGAAATGCAGCTAATTTGACCATTAAAGTTCATTTATTAAGCAAACATTACATTGAGACACACCTTTACTATAATTTTAAGCAAACAAATAACTGTTTTTAAGTGTTAATCTTGTTAAATTCTGGTTAAAGTCCTCCCGTGCATGCTCCCGCTGCCGCCAATTGGCAGCCCATCGATTTTTGGCACAACACCGGCCCACATTTCCGGGTTTGGCCCACATTTCCGGGTTTGGCCCACATTTCTAGGCTGTCAGTGGTGACACGTAACAAACGCGACACGTCAGCTGTGACGCATAATAGATGCAACGTATACGGCGAAGCGACATATTTAGGGATTTTTCCATTTTATTAGACAAATATGGACAGATGTAACTTATAGGGCAAAGCAACGTGTACGGCGGAAACTACGTTATTAACTATGAACAAATTTATTCAGTGCTTTTTATTCTATACACTGAAAGTATATTTGTACATTACAAAGCACAGTGGTGGTAACATTAGTTTCAATATCTTGCATTAGGACACCTGAACATTTGAAACAAAGATGTTGAATAATAAAGCTTCGGTCATTTTGCTGATGGACACCAAGCATCTTTATATACACATTTCATTTTCAATTAAACAGATATAAGAGGATAAAGGCTTACTTGAGTGACGGTTATTGGCCTCACACTCAGGACAAAACCACTCCTCCACAGGAACAGAGTCGAGTGGAGGTGTGAGGCATTCCATGTGATATCTGTGGAAGATACACAAGAACTATTAACTGAAAACTAAGAAAAAGGACAAAATGTGACTTACAACCCTAAGAATGTTAAACCAATCATCTCACCCTGCATCACAACCATCACAGAGCAGGAGGCGGTCCTCACGATCACTGCCCCCACACACCTCACAGTTGGTTTGCTCCAGGTCGAAATTCACTGTTTCCTCTTGACCTGCCTTCATAGGCTTTTGCACAGTTATCTGAAAAACACAATAATATACTGAATTAGTCCAACCAACACATAACATACATATGATACAGAGTTGTCATATTTTAACTGTTTTATAGTGAACATACCATTTTCTTCACTCTTCCTCCATAACATTTTCTTAAGTGTATGCTGTTAAAGGCAAGACGGTCTACGGGACACGAGTTTGCATTCTAAACAGAACAGAGGAAAGAACAAAAGCACTGCAAATAAGCAAATTATTTTGCTCTAACGCAGGTGGTTAAATTAAATCAAAGTACCATTCATCAAAAGCAGGAAATGCTTTTGAACAAAAATATTTTTCTCCTACATTTATGCATTGAGTCAGACCCACCTTGGCCCATTCAAGGATGCAGTCCAAACAAAAGTAGTGCTCACAGTTCTCTGGTGTTGCAACAGGCTGGCTATTGAATGAGTTCAGGCAGATGGGACACTTTTCGCTATCCTCATCTGAGCTCATCCCTTCCAAGTCAGCAGAAGTACCACCAAAAGTTCCATTCTCAAGCTTAGCATCTTCTTCCTCCTCCACCTCTTCCTCCTCATCTAAAACATTGTGAAGAAAAAACATGATTGTGTTTACATTGAAAATTGCAGTATATGACAAAACAATAACCGTTTTATTCAGTAAAGTGCCATAAAAACTAATTTAACCATCTATCTCTACACACATACAAAAATACAAAAACAGTGTCATTTACCATCCTCCTCTTCATTTCCATCCTCGTCATCATCGCCATTTGCGTCACATTCCTCCTCTTCATCCCCACTATCAGATTCTCCCTCCTCAGACTCCTCCTCTAAGTCGTCAGAGTCATCTTTGGGGGGGAAAAAATAGTACATCCACAAAATTCATGTGGTGGAAGTTTGACCATTTTTGTGAAACAATGAAATATTTTTTAAAGTTACCCGAGATGGCCCACATTGCTGCTCTTTTTCCTTTGTTGTGTGTTGAACTAGGATTAATCTGCTCATCTTGGCTGTCATCTTCATCCATGGTTGACCATCAAAATATCAGGACTTTCCTGACAGCTTGTATCTAAAATTGTACTTTGATAATGTAAGAAAAATGCACGACAATATTAAAATAAATCGATACAATTATACTTTCGATAGTATTTGTCTATAGAAATAGTATATATACAGTGGGGAAAATATGTATTGGATACACTGCAGATTTAGCAAGTTTTCCAACCTACAATGAAAGGACAGGTCTGTAATTTTAATATCTTGGGTACTCTTCAACTGTGAGAGACTGAATCCAAGACAAAAATCCCAAAATATCACATTGTATGATTTTTAAATAATTTATTTGTATTTGATACAATAGAAAAACAGAGCTTAATATTTGGTACAGAAACCTTTGTTTGTAGTTACAGAGGTAAGACATTTTCTGTAGTTCTTGACCAAGTTTGGACACACTGCAGCAGTGATTTTGGCCCACTCCTCCATACAGATCTTTTCCAGATCTTTCAGGCTTTGGGATTGTCACTGGGCATTGAGCAACATTGAGTTTCAGCTCCCTCTAAAGATTTTCTGTTGGGTTCAGATCTGGAGACTGGCTAGGCCACTCCAGGACCTTGAAATGCTTTTTATGGAAGCGCTCCTTAGTTGCCCTGGCTGTATGTTTTGGGTTATTGTCATGCTGAAGACCCAGCCACGACACATCTTCAATGCTCTTACTGAGGGAAGGAGGTTGTTGGCCAAAATCTCATGATACATGACCCCATCTAGTCAATACAGTGTAGTCATCCTGTCCCCTTTGCAGAAAAGCAGCCCCAAAGTATGATGTTTCCAGTTTCCACCCTCATGTTTCACAGTTGAGACGGTGTTCTTGGGGTTGGATTCATCCTTCTTCTTCCTCCAACACAGTGAGTGGAGTTGGTACCAAAAAGCTCTAGTTTGTATTTTGGTCTTATCTGACCACAAGACCTTATTCCATGCCTCCTCTGGATCATCCAGATGGTCATTGGTGAACTTCAAATGAGCCCGGACACATGCCGTCATAAGCAGGGGGATCTTGCGTGCCCTGCAGGATCTTAAACATTGATGGCGTAGTGTTACTAACGGTCCTCTTTGAGACTGTGGTCCCAGCTCTCTTCAGGTCCTCACATGTAGTTCTGAGCTGATTCTTGACCTTTCTCAGAATCATCTTTACCCCACAAGGCGAGATCTTGCATGAAGCCCCAGACCGATGAAGATTGACAATCATCTTGTGTTTCATCCCATTTCTAATAACTGCGCTAACAGTTGTTGCCTTCTCATAAAGCTGCTTGCCTATTGTCCTGTAGCCCATCCCAGCCTTGTGCTGATCTACAATTTTATCCCTGGTGTCCTTAGACAGCTCTTTGGTCTTGGCAATGGTGGAGAGGTTGGAGTGTCGATTGACTGTGTGTGTTGACAGGTGTCTTTTATACAGGTAACGAGTTTGCTCAAATTGATGCAGTTAATACAGGTAACGGGTGCAGAATAGGTGGGCTTCTTAAAGAAAACTAACAGGTCTGTGAGTAATAGAATTCTTGCTGGTTGGTATGTGATCAAATACTCATTTCATGCAATAAAATGCAAATTATATATTAAAAAAAAAATCATACAATGTGATTTTCCAGATGCTTTTTCTTAGATTCAGTCTCTCACAGTTGAAATGTATCTATCTACAATAAAAATTACAGACCTCCATTCTTTGTAGGTGGGAAAACTCGAAAAATCTGCAGTGTATCAAATACTTATTGTCCCCACTGTATGTACTGGTATATATTTACTACAACTGTAAATACCAAAAATAAATAAATAAATAAATGGAAATATCACAATCAAAGGCTGATAAATATCAGTGATCTTCAACTATAGATGAATATAAAGTGTTGTTAAAAGTTATTCGCCACATTAAAGAAACCAACTCAACGCTAAAGACAAAAAGTTGTAGTTCTGTCATGTAATGTTTAGTTAGAAAATAAACAGATGCCACTGAAATTCAAGTGTGTCCAAGATAACAACCAGTGGTTTTACTGGTGCAAATTGACAGTGTACCATAGTTACTTTTTTCATGCATTCACAAAACCCTTGCACAATATTTTAAATGTTTTAACTTTTTTTTGTATTCAAACATGCTACTGGGTACATACACCCGACCCTATTTGCAAGGATAAGGGGAATAAAAAGAGGCCGTTTTCCAACAATAAACCAAAATCTAAAACCTTTTTTTTTTCTATAAACACCAGTACAACGTTTCAACTGATTTACAATCCTAAAATAAATACTAGGTAACAGCTAGCTGCACTTAAGTAGACGATAAGAACATTTTGCACTTGATAAATACTCCTGCATTTTATTTACTTGCGTTTTTCTAAAGAATGACAATTGCGTTGTGCTGCTTGCAGCTGAGATTAAGGGTTTTAGCAACATAGTGGATTTTACGTATTTTCCTTTATATTTTTATTTAAGCCAGCCCAAATGCAATTGCAACAAAGAGCAAATAATTAACATTTAATTGCGAAACACAGGTGACATTTTAACTTCAATTCCATCACCAAAATATCATAAATATATCTTAATAGTGCACACAATGTTATTTCACCAAACTAGCTAGCCTAACAACGTCGTAAAGGCTACATTTGTAAACAAAGAACAAAACTTAGCACCAAACTGTATTTTCAGTAATACTCATAGACAGTGTGCATACAGTACAATTATAGATATGTACGTTAGTTAGATCCATAGCTTACGAGAACAAAATCTGACAGTTTTATAATGCTGTTCTTATTGAACAACAGTGGCTAACAAAATTAGCTTCAGCATAGCGTGTTAGCTGTCCTCGGAGTAGCTAAATTTAGCCAACGTCAAATCCGACTGAACTCTGTGCTAAAAACCCTCAAAAGACAGATTTACACAAATTCTAAACTGAACCCAAAGGAGCTGAAATGTTTTACTAAAGTATTTAATACGAATTTTAAACCTACCCTATTCGTTAATGTAAGATTTGCAGAAAGTGAGTGGCTGGAAGTCTTCACATTTGGTGAATGACACAACCGGCTGGCTAACGACGGAAATTGCCGAATACACTTCGGAAAATTTGACTCTTAAAGGGACAGTGTACAGTTTCATAGTACTGTACGGGCCACAACCTACATTGTGTGTCTATGAGTCATAAGTTTTTATTTATTTAGATATTACATGGAATATGTATACATACATGCATATATATATTTGTAAGTAATACAATGCAAATAAAAGTATGTTACACATGTTGCATTTACAGTTTTCTTCTTTAAGCTGTTCCCTTTCCATGGGTCGCCACAATGTCATACTCCTCCATCCTCCTCCAGCCGATCCTTGATGCACTCCCACCTCCACCTTGAATCTATCTGTCAGTCCTACAGCACATCTCACCACTGTCCTGCTGTCTTCATACATGTCCTGTACCAGTCTAACATAATTCTCTGCCACTCCAGATTTCCTCATGCAATACCACACTTGATCCTTCTGCACTCTGTCATATGATTTTTCTAAATCCACAAAGACACAATGGAGCTCTTTCTGACCCTCTCTACTTCTCCATCAGCATCCTCAAAGTAAAGATGGCATCTGTGGTGCTCTTTCTCAACATGAAACCATACTGCTGCTCACAAATATTCACCTCTCATCCTCCACAACTCTCTCCCAGATCTTCTTTGTGTGGCTCATAAACTTAATTCCCCTGTAGTTGTTACAACTCTGTACATCACCGTTGTTCTAAAAAGAATTGTCACTAGCACACTTCTGCATTCCTCACGCATGTTCTCACTCTCAAAAATAACATTCCAGTTGATCGATAAACAACTAATGCTTCAAAATGGTTAATTATTTTTCTATGTGGCAGTAACAATATTTTAAAGATAAAATCAATACACTACATTTTTTACATTTAAAAGTGGCTAGTTGCAGGTACATTTAAAAACAATAATATACTCATAGTTACGTATTTCTTTTTAATGTGTTAATACATGCTTTACAAAGTCACATTAGTGAACAAACTAGTGTAGATCTTACATTCCTGTGACATGTTTTTAACTGTAAAATGTGCCCAAGTAATATATTGTATTCAAAACTGATTTGTTCATCTCTAGAATGAGCTTCATCTTTGACATCCTGATTCATGCTCAATAATCCAGATAGAAAAATCTAACAAAGTTAAGTCAGATCCTCTGGATGGATGCAAAAATTAAAAACACAAGAATAATTTAAAAAAATTGTTAAAACGTTTCTCCTTTAATCCAAAAGACTTCGTCAGTCTGAGGAGCTGTAATAAGCTCATATACCGTACCTTCTCATGGATCAACCAGTTTTTTGTTGACATTGATAAATGTCATGATAAAGGACCATCAGCCTAACAATGGATCATTAGCACCCTGATGGCTGTTTACTATTCACAGGGGGCTGAGTGATACTAGCAATAACAGCATTGTAAGAGGGGGACAGTTGAACCCGGAGGCCTCCACCCCTGTTTAATGATGGATGATTTCTTTTCACAATAATGGCCTCCTTTACTCCTCTCTCAAACCATCGTTCCTCTCTGTCCAGGATGTGAATATCTTCATCCCTGAAAGAGTGACCGCTGGCCTGGAGATGAGTGTAGACCACAGAATCCTGGCCTGATGATGTTGATCTTCTGTGCTGGGCCATCCTTTTGGCCAGTGGCTGTTTAGTTTCCCCGATGTAAGACTGATCACAGCCCTCCTGACACTGAACAGCATACACAACATTACTCTGTTTGTGCCGGGGGACTGGATCTTTGGGATGAACCAGTCTTTGCCGTAATGTATTTTGGGGTTTAAAAGCCACTGGGACGTTGTGTTTAGAAAATAAACGTCTCAGTTTCTCAGAAATTCCTGCAACATACGGAATGACCACTGGTCTGGGTTCCCCCTTTTCATCTGATGTCTGACTGGAGTCCTGTTTGGGTTTCTTCTCTGCTTTCAAGAAGGCCCAGTTAGGATATCCACATTGCTCCAGGACCTGTCTTGTGTGGGATTTCTCCTTCTGCCTGGCTCCTGATGTCCACTCTGTGGTATAGAGTCCTGATGACTCCTAACTTGTGCTCCAGGGGTGATGGGAGTCAAAATGCAAATACTGGTCTGTGTGGGTGGGTTTGCAGTATACGTTTGCAAATTTCCTCCATCAGAAACTGAGACCTCACAGTCCAAGAAAGCCAACCTGCCATTTTTTACATCTTGATGTGTGACCTTGATGTATTTATCCACAGAGTTGATGTGATCAGTGAAATGTTGGACTTCCTGAGATTGAATTTTAACCCAGGTGTCATCAACATACCTGAACCAATGACTTGGTGGTGTACCTGAAAAGAACGCCAAGGCTCTCGTTTCTATCTCCTCCATGTACAAGTTGACAACAAGAGGAGAACCTGGAGACCCCATGTTTCTGCCTATGAAGTAGGTTGACTTCAGGCACAGTTTCAAGAGTTGACACAGTTGTTCTGTGGAAAGCGTGGTCCTGCTGCTCAGAGTGGTGTCTGATTTTAACCTTAAACTGACCTCTTCTACTGCTTCATCAACAAGAATGCACATAAAGGGTGATGTGACATCAAAAGAGACCATTGTTTCATCAGTCTCCATGATGACATCACCTTATCCACGGTGTTCTATGCGATGTTCTGAGCTGCCAACTAAAGGGATGAGTACGTACACTGTATGCCTCTTTGACAGTTTGGTGGCACACATCGCCCTCTAGCGACAAAACAAGGAAACCGCACATATGTTACATAATACAACCTGAAATCTAGGTTCGGTTCGGGGTCATGTGTATCCTGGCGAAAATACTAACTCCTATACACACGCGTGAGGAACAGCTCATAATTTTATTTAATTAGAAACAGTACATCCCACATAACCCGACTTGAAATGGATCATAAATTATTACTTTTTGTTTGTTTGTTTTTGCACATTTTGTGACAACTTGTTCTAACCACATGTAAATGATAAATATTCATATGTAAGTGTTTTGTTTTATTTGTGATTATATAATAAGCGGTGTTAATGATGCCAGCGAGCCCACAGAGAACTCCTTAAATAATTGAGCGCTCCTCTTCCTCCTTTGCCCCTCGTCATCGTCAGATCAGACGGTCATGCAGCATCCTTGGTACGTGCACAGCCACACTCCGCTCATGGCAACGCTGTACACAAGCCGAGTTCAACCACTTCTCACCAGAGGGGTAGCAGCGGTCGCTGTCAAACCGCCTTTAAAACTCGCACCAACCACCTCCAATGGAGACCGTCGCTTTAAATGGCGTCTATTTAAGGGTAAATGAGCCCGCCTCGCAGCGGTACCCGCAGTAAATATGGATCAGGACAGGAAGCTGTTAACAAGGTAATGGTTCAGTCCTGATGTACGACGTGCAAAACTGAACGCACCGCACCCCAACTACAACTCCGAAACTCGGTTTAACGTGATGCCCTTGAACATCCCGCCTTCCTGAGGTTCTGGTAGGTCAATTACCAATAAGGGGCGGGACCTTGTGCTCCAAATCGGCTGCTCATTGGCTGTTCACGACGCCTGTTAGTTTCTAATTTGCACAATCAGGTCGGGTTGCAGATGCAGAGGAGTGGGCAGGGAAGGGGTAGTGCAAGTGAGTTGATCTACGTCGGTGTTCACTTCTTAATGTACGGAACTTTAATCTAGCGCTGAGATTTTATATATTTTGAAAAGGAAAAACAAATATATATTTTAGATATTGGACATATGATGCACCAAGATACGTGTGAAGAAACTAAAGTAGTTTTTTTTCGCCTCAGCAAATATTCTAGAAGAAAACTTGGGACTGGTAAGTAGCTATATTTATCCCCTTTCTTTAATCTGTGTCTTGTGAATAGGCCACACACAGCATTTCAACGGATGTAATTTTACTTTAGATTTGTTCACAGTTCTCTTGTTTTCTGTTTATATTTTGGGACTAGAAAACTTTTGGCATAATATAGGAATGATAAAATACCTGCTTTAATTGTACTGCCTGATCCATACATCCTTTAACAGGAAGTCTTATTAAATAGTAATTGTGCATTTGTTTGTCTCACTGTTGAAACGGTATATGTAGATATTAGGTGATCAGTATAAAATATTTCTGTCTGACGTATTAATAGTTAATGACACAGCATTTGTTTTGACTCCACAGACTCATTGTCACTGTCATGTCTGATATCTAAAAGCAGGTAAGCCACTGACTAACGCACATTGTGCCAGTTGCCAGTTCCACTGTGCGTGTGACAGCGGCTAACCTGGTTTTGGGAATACCTCTCACTGGTGGGCCTCAGACCAGCCGCAGCCGGACAAGACGCACACACACACATGCACACACCTATATGTACAAAGTGTTCCTGATAATGTCCTGTGCACTGCTGGGAAAGAGCTGCTCTATGCATGACTCCCCCCCACCCAGTGGTCTCCACTTGTACTGAGGCCAACTTCCTACCACGCTGACATACCTTATTTAGGAGCAGTGGTTTTTACATTGCCCTCTTATGGAGCAGCTGCCCTCAGTGAGTTTTGTTTAATTTTTAGTTTCATCTTAAGGGTTTATTCTCTCTGCTCCCTAATATGAAGACACAAAGCCTCCAGGGCTCCTTGATGAAGTTTCTGGGTCTGTCAGCACTAGTTACTGTTACATAAAGTCACCTAATTCTGAAGTCTATGTATTAGGATATAATTTTATTGTTTTCTCTCTTTTTAAATTGTGATTTGTTGTATAAACCTGTACGATCTTCGTAGTTTGTGCATTTTTCTTGTCTGTAAGTAAAGTGAGAAGTAAAGTTGAAGGTCAAATCATCTCTTGCATCGCATGTTCATTTTGTCGTGTAGTGCACGTCTTTGCAAGATACGGATATTTTCTTCTCGTCTGTGTGCCGTGACTCGTCGGGACACAGAGGTATAGATGTGTCCACGTCTTTTCTAGATATGCCAGCCTCATTAATTGTCCCTGTCGTCATCACAAGGTGATGACTTCCTTGTTCAGAACAAGGAAGTCCTTTCCCAGATATCCCATGACTCTTTAAAGTAAATACTAAGTTTGTTTTTTTATCAAAAGAGATCAAATGTTAGGCTTTGTCTTACAAAGTAGATTTTGAGATTTGGGGGCTCATTGAGGGGTGCTGTTAGATAGAGAACTTTGCAAATTGGCTTTTATGTATGTGAATGTTACTGTAAAGTGCCCTGAGACAACTTTGTTGTGATTTGGTGCTATATAAATAAACTGAATTGAATTGAATTGAGGGGTGCTGTTCTATTATCGAAAATAAATCCCGCCGGCATAACATCTGGATTCAATCCTTTATAATCTGGTATGAAAGTGAAGTCATCGGAAACTATTGGAAATGACTCATTTTGCTTGTAAATAAATACACAGATCTGATTCATTATTCTTCGGTAATCTGAACTTGGACTTCAAGTGAACTAATGTTAAGTCATGGCTTTCAGTTAAATGACGTAGCACAATGATTGTAATCGCTTAGATTTGTTCGGAAAAGACGAGCATCTGAGTTTCCATAAAAACATGGAAGCATGGTTCATATTCTTCATTTCCACATGTAGGTATTAGTGGAACACCAGACTTGGATCTTGTCCGGACGGTGGGACCAAAACAAAGATTTCAAGCTTACCTAACTCCAGCAAAGCCAGACTGCTCTAAATCTTATTATAATCCAATTTCACACCTTCAAATCAAATGTCTAATACGAGCCGCCCAAAATTTCCTATGGAATTAAGAGGAAAATATTCTTCAAGTAATACTTCGTGTAAGCAGCGTTCAGTAAATGTAATTAGAAATGGAAAAAGAGAAGTGTGATGTGCTTTCCTTGGAATTTTACCTGCTCGTCAGCAAATGAGTATTTATAGAAGCCTTCTAGGTATCAGTCCAGGGTCAAGAGAAGGGTGTGTGTGTGTGTGTGTGTGGGGGGGGGGGGGGGGGGGGGGGGACCCGCCGGGGGGGGGGAAGAACAAAAAGGGGGTGTCACACCATGCAGAGTGACCAACAACAAATTTACTCTCCAAGGTAATGAAACAAACTATAGTGGTGTGCAGGACTTAAAATGGTTTTGTATCTATCCTGCATTAAGATCATTGGTCACAGATGAAACTATAAGATGAGTTCTTCTGTAGAGAGATGTGCATGGGCTCATGTTCTGTCTCGTTCTATATATATATGAGGTACAACGGTTTATCACTGTGAGCATTAACTTAAAAGTTCAGCAAAGTTCATTTATGACAATATGAACTGATGATGGGCTTTGCTTTGTATTTAAAGTTATCAGAGCCAGCTGTGATGTTTGCTTCTGCAGCAGTGATGCACTTTGTGAACGACGAGCTGTACATGTGCAAAATTTATAATGTACAAAATCCATCATATGACCACAAAAGTCAAAAGAGTAGCATGATTTTCTCAGTACTAAAATACAAAATGCATTTCAAATGACCTCATGAAACCACTTAAGTAATCGTTTTCACCACGGCTTTCAGATGAACTGCGCTGTACAATGAAGTTGTCGCAATTAATAATAAAAAGTCTAAAAACACAATGCACAGTTTATTGCACTTAAATACACAGTAATAATAATCTCTATTGGGTCAAAGATTCCTAAATTATTTTACAATTCATACAGTTCATTTGAAATGTTACAGTAGCAAAACTTTAAATATACAGTATTTGACTTATTTATATAAAGCATGTGAATGATGAATAAAGAATGGAATGGTTAGAACATAAAAAGTTAAATAAGAGGAGATGGTGACAGAACAGTGAACAACTTTTCCCTTGGCCCTGCGGTCCATGTTTTATCTCCATGACGACTCTCTGGATGTCAGGACTGCAAGACACAAAAATAAGTGGGGATGATGATCCCTTTGTTTCTAAAGAAAGAAAAACTTCAGCTAAGAGACGCACACAAGAGAGCCGAATTCAGCAAAATACTGACAAACAATTGAAAAGATCACATGATGACACAAGGTTAGTTACAGGATTAATGCCATAGAGTTTGCACATGATGACTACAGTCACGGTCAAAATAGAATTGGTTTCCAATAATTTTTTTTAAGCGCCAGGACAGCTTCAGTATCCAAAATGAGCATTTTTACAAAACGGTGACAGCAGTGAACATCAAGACACGTGCCACTTTGACCTGTCGGCGAAGTTGGGAGATTTACAGTCTAATGCAATGCTTGAAATACTAATTAAAGAGGTTTAAATGGTAGTTGTTTGTATTATAAGTGGAAGTTAACAGTACAATCCAAAATATGACAGGTCAAAGGGCAGATGTGATGAGAGCAAAAGAACCAGGCACATCCAACCCAGAGGAAAACAAAAACAAAAAACATGGATCTGTGGCTCTACTTTTGAAATGTATCTTGATTTAACAAAGACTTCGAGGAAAAACAGACAAATTGGAACATATATATTCAATGGAGAGGGATAAAATTGAAGAGTAAAACGATACATTTCTCTGTAGGCACACAAGAGAGGGGAACGATGAAAACTATTTTGCAGAACCCAGTGTCAAAGGCTCTTGGTCTTTGGAAGTCAAGCATCACCAAAGTACAAGGCGTTGTGCAGACACACACCCTCATATAAAACGGCATCCAAACATGAAAGGCAAACTGAAATGACACCGGTTTAATATATTTCCATGTCCCAGTATGAAAACAGATAATCAGAACATGTGCCACAGTCATTTGCAGTGCAGTCAAAATGTTACATTGGGGTACAGCAAGAAGCAGCTGCTGGTAGTCAATTATTTTATTTATTTAAGGGTGTGAAGGCCACTCTGAGTTACAAAGGAAGATTAGCAGTAAGTCCCAAGTTGCATTAAAGTATAAGCAAAACAGCTGGTTAGGCCACAAGCAAATATTGAGAGATGAGGACAGGGAGTAGAGCATGAACGGATAAATAAACCCAGGAGAATTAAAGCATACAGAGATAAAAGATGCACTTAAGATGTTTGTGGAAGCTAGAGACAGAAATAAGGCAGGCTGAGAGAGAAGAGAGAAACCTCTCAGGATGAAAGGGAAATTAAAGGTAGCAGAAACCACCACCGTACAGATGCTTCCAGTTCCCAACAACCTTAAATGACAGGTTTAGCCTTTAGCTCAGTCAAGCTAGAGTGGGAGAAAAAATGGAGCAAGGGCGGACTGGGACCGAGCAGGGAGGGAGACGTGAAGCAGCAGGGTCTCACACATACACACCCTCAGGGTTGAGACTGGACACTAGAGGGTTTTGCAGGTTTCGTGGATGACCCAGGAACTGTTTGGCAGTGGGGCGAGATGGAAACTCCACAGGAGTCGCGCTGCGGCCTGGATGAGAAAAAGAAAAGAATTCCTTCAGAAAATGAGTCTCGAGTCTCTAACAAAGAGCAAAACGTGTCAGGTCTGAACTACCAGCTGCTAGATCCATCTGCTCCATTTGCTCCTGCAGCTCTGTGCGTGAGTGAGCGAGCGCTGGCAGGACACCTGTCTGCTGAATGAACTGCTGCAGGTTACACTGCCTCAGCTCCTTATTCAGGTCCTCTAGCTCCTCCTGTTTGATCTGAGGTAGAGACAAAATGTTGGTAAAAATTAAGAAAACAATGTAAAATCCAAAGACTAAAACCCCTGAAGAAATATATTTCTGTGACTTTTATTTACTGTAATTTTTAATAAGCAACTTTGAACAGCTTTCAACACAAGGGGGCAGTAGAGTCTGTAAGTCTTGTCACATCTCTGAAGATTATTGCACATAAAGGGATCAAGCATGGGATGATGAATGAATACTTATGTCTGTTAGCTACCATCATTGATAATGTGATGTTCAAAAATATTCCAGAGACATAATCAGCTTTACATCCACACAAACAGGCAAGTTAATATGTAATAATTAACAATCTATTTATTGTCTGATCAGTGTGTTTGCACACAGAATGAAAGCAAGCAGGGGCGAGCCAGGGCTCCCTTCCACTGCACCACTGTGTGTTTGGATAATTGATTCTGGACAGTCAAAGCCTGCTGAGGCAGTTCACACCTGCAGGTCTGCCTCCATTAGCCAGATGACAGGAACGCTGTGCTCATCACTACCAACCTTCAAACGCTTAGCTGGCTGCCTCAACCCATTTGCTGACCGATGACTGACACAGACCCTTTACTGTCACAATACACAGAGCTTTATTGTACAATTTCACGTTACCAGTGTTACCTAATTTTACAGGAAACAAAGGCCTATTTTTTTTCCTCCATGCTCTGATATTTATTTGCTGCATTTAAGCACTTCGTGTTGTTGTTTACATGTTAAAAGTTTTCCAAGAAGCATGTATAAAAGTTAAAACTCATCTCTATTCAATAACAAGATTATTTGTATAAAAAAAAACTTGGTATGGCTCTGACTGACCATGATACTGTAGCTCTTACACTGAGCACAAAAAATGCTGATTTCCTCTGCATTTAAACACATCCCATAATGCTGGAACAAAGATCTTTGTCACGCTGCAGCCCAATTTAGACAAAATATCCAACCTCAACAGTTTGGTTTTTAATATTCTACAAAAAAAAAAAAAAAAAATCCCAATTTCTTCAGGCTTTTGGCAGAAAGTGACATTAAAATAAGGTCCTGGGTTTCATATAGGTTTTATGGAAGCTCAGGTATGCTAGGTTAGGCTTTTATTAAGACACCCACATCTATGAGAATCACTAAAATCAGCAAATAATCACATCATAAACTAGAATATGTTGAGGTTGAATAAATCCAATAAAAGGGGCTTTTTATTTTAATTATTTTTAATCTCTTTTTCAATACAAAATACAAGATCAGGCATTTGTATGTCAGTGTAAACACCATTACAAAGCATGACTTTAATACAGTGCAATGCATGCGATATGATACCTTGGACAGAATATAAATAAAACATTTTCATGATTGGCTGGATGTGAGCATGCAGCTTTCATGTCACCTCAAACTCATAATAAATCAGTTTTCTTTGAGAAATCAGTTTTTGATTGTTCACAGTTTCTAAAACTGGTTTGTGTCTGCTGCATTATGCAGGTAGGAGAGGGATACAGTTTACTGTAATGTGTCAGTCCTACATCCCGCAGATGACATAAAGAGCTGATGTAGATTTACAGCCATTTTTCCAGAACCGTGACCTCTCTCCTTACCTGCAGCAGAGACTCTGCTTTCCCCAGAGCTTTGTCATTCTCAGACAGCTGTTCCTCCAGCTCTGCCCCATGCCTCTCTCGGCTCTTCAGCTCTTCCTTCACAGCATCAAGTGACTCCTTGATCCCACTGACTTTTCCTACTGCCTGGCTCTCCAGCTGGATTTCTTGCTCCAGATGAGCAGAGCGAACCGAGAACTCATGAAGCTGCCGTCCACAGTCGTCCAGCTTGGAATGAAGCTCTGACAGCCTCCTCCTCATACCCTGCTCACTCTCTGCTTCTGCTTGAAGTTCCTCCTCCCAGTGTTGCTCATGTGCAAGTTCAGCTTGGTTTCTCCGCATCACCTGCTCCAAAGTGTCCAGCTCTTCTTGAAGGCGTACATCAGAGACTGGTGAGGGACATGGAGATGGGTAAGAACGCTCCCTGGTACGCGATTCTCTCTCTAAGGTTTCGAGATGGCCTTCTATGGTTTTCAGTCTCTCCTGTTGCTGAAGAACTTTTCTGAAAACTTCCTCCTTAATAGAGCCAATAGGTGGTGACGGGGCAGGGGATGGCACACGAGGGGTGGGTGAAGAGGATGGCGAGGCTCTTTGCTCTGTTGAGTCCCGAGGAGCCTTCTTCACCTGTTTGGCCTTTGATTTGGGTGAGGTTGATGGCCCCAAGTTAAAGGTCAGGGCTTTCTTAAGTTGGTTTCGATTCAAAGGCTCAGGCTCAGGTTGCCTCGGTAGTGGAAGGGGAGCAGCTCTGTCTTGTTTTGAATTAGGTCCATCACTACTGCTAGGGCCAGTTCGTCGTAGGACAAATTGTACTTCATTGCCATGTTGACCCAACTTTGCCAAAGACTCCAAAGGCCTCTCTGTGGCTAGAAGTTGCCTTTCTGTGTCCCTCAGACGCTGAATAAGAACATATCGGCCTGTCTGACCTGAGACAAAAACGCACAAGAAAAGAAGAGTGAGTATAATCACATCTTTATTTTAAGTTAAAACATCTGCAAGAGTTTCTTCACAAATTCGACTGCATATTTAAGAGACAAGCTTGCAGTAAAACTATTGTGAACTTGTGCTAACAAGGTTAAGTCAGGTCTTCTATCCGTCCAGAGGACCTGACTTAACCTTGTTTGATTTATCTACCTGGATTATTGAGCATGCATCAGTATATTGTGAAAGGCTGTTTTTTTCTTCCTTGGACACAGGTGCACAAATAGTAATATTTAAAACAATATTTTATTTTTTTTTATTTCACCTTTCTGGCCTGGCAGCACCAACAGGTACTTGTAGGGTCAAGGGAAGGAAACAATAAAGTTAGGCAAAACAATAAAATATAGAAGTCAATAACAAACAAGGAAATCACAAATTACATTAATAATAACAAAAAAGGTTGAATCATGTCATCTGGACTTCGTTTTTTTTTTTGTTAAAAAGAAACGTTTCGCCCCTCGTCCAAGAGGCTTCATCAGTCTGAGGCCTAGCCATCTGGTATTACCCAGAAGCCACCCTGACTCTTGTGTTTCAAGCCTGCCTCAGATACCCCTGAAGTCTGGCCTTTTCACTAATGGTTTCAAAAACACAAAGTTTGTTTTCTCAGTCATCCAGGTATATAACAACAAAAAAGGTTGAATCATGTCATCTGGACTTCGTTTTTTT